TATATTAAGGTTATGTGCTTGCAATCTATACTTCACAAGAAAACATTTATTTTTTCTAAATAGCGGTTTTGTAAAATACCATTGTAGATCAAAACGGTCAACAATGTGTTTATACAACAAACATTTTGAAGATGTCTCGAATATGTTTCTCATTTCCTGAATAAAAGTATCCTTTATGTGTTGTATATATAATAATAAAAAATATTTCTCATTTGCCAACCACACATCTCCAAAACCCAACGTACACAAATCACGTCTCAGATGATAAACCCAATTTGCTTTACAGTTTGGTTTCCTGTTATAAAGCCCTAAAAGTTAATCGTAACAGGCCCTCAAAATACAGTTACCAGTCTTTAATATTTTCAGCCAGTACTTTACAATAGTACCTTAATCCTACGCTGTATATGCAAAGGGTAACGACCAAGTTCAAAATACACCATGGCATTATTTACTGTTTTCCTGACACCCAATAAGGTTTTCAAAATTAATAAATGTATATTTTCAATCTGCGGTGCAGGATCAAATAAAGATAACTTGGTCTTTTCATTCAACAAAAATCTTTTCGCTTTCCGATTTAGAAGAAAATAAGCTTTCCTTCCTTGTACAGCAATGTTATTCAATGCAATGGTAAATTTACCATTATAATTAAAAACCAAACCTAAATAGCAAAATTGATCTACCACTTCTATAGCTTTACCATCAAAAATCCACTGCTCGTTTGGATACAACGGTTTACTTTTCCTAAAAACAACTATTTTTGTTTTGTCTACATTTACAGATAAATTCCAACGTCGAGAATAAGTGATTAAAAAATCCAACATATTTTGGAGGTCAACTACATCCTCAGAAAAAAATACCGTGTCATCGGCATACATAATTAAAAAACAAATTAAGTAATTGCAAGTGATAACTTTGGCAATTTGACTTAATCAATTCGGATTCCATGTCGTTGACAAATAAAGAAAATATTATTGGAGATAAAGATTCTCCTTGTGATAATCCGAACTGTAAGTCGTACATAGGAGATAATTTACCATGAAGCTTTACACATGATTTAACACTCTCGTATATAGATTAGATAACATTAAGCATCCGTCCTCTTACACCCGATTTCCACAATTTACACCACAATTTATCATGTGATATACTATCAAACGCTTTTCTATAGTCTACGAAAGCACAATAAAGCCTTTTATTACTCTGTTAAGTTTTATTAATCAAGGTATTAAGCACAAAAATTGCATCTCTGGTACCACTCCCGGGCTTAAAACCAAACTGAGCATCTGTAATTACATTCTCGCTTTCGCTCCACTTTAACATTTGTTTATTCAAGAGTGATTTATGGTGTATTTATAAGCTTTTAGGCTTTAATTATCCCTGTCCCACCGCACTTTGGGATTTAGTATATATACAAGATTTCAAGATTCAAGATTTTTTATTCACTCCAGGCACACATTTCGTGTGTAACAGGAGGTCAATCTTCGAACACATTTATATTGGCAGACCAACTGGAAAGATTGGTGTATTTTAATCAAATCATAGCATGCATACATATAGTACTATACATACATATAGTATCATACATACATATAACATAATAAATACATATAATAGCATACAAACATACATATAACAGCATACATACATAGATACATACAACAGCACACATGTAAATATATAACAGCACACATACCTACACTCATATAACAGCATACATGCATACAGATAATAGCATACACACATACATAAAATAGCATACCTACATACATATAACAACATACATACATACATGTAACAGCATGCATACATACATGTAACAGCATACATACATACATATAACAGCATACATACATATAACAGCATAAATACATACATATAACAGTAAACATGCATACATATATTACCATACATACATGTTTATAATAGCATACACACATATATATATAACAGCATACATATAACAGCATACATACATACATACATACATACATACATACATACATACATACATACATACATACATACATACATACATACATACATACATACATACATACATACATA